AGAGAGCCCTCATACTCTGGTTCACAAGATGAGCAAAACATCTCCCATGAATTATAGATCCATACCTCTCTTGCCCGTCTTAGTGAAGGTCTATGAGACAATGACCAGCTTCCTTGATGAACACCACCTTATCAGTAACAGGCAGTTCGGCTTCAAGTCTGAGAGATCTGCGTCGGACCTCCTTCATCTTACGATTGGCTGGCAAAACTCCCTCGATGTCGTAATGATGAAACCTATGTCATTGCACTTGATATGGCCGGTGCATTTGGCAGAGTGTGGCACAAAGGCATCATTGCAAAGTTGAAAAGCCTTGACATAGCAAGAGCCCTACTGATGCTACTTAAAGACTACTTGCTTGGAAGAACAATGCAGGTAGTTGTAAACGGCCATACATCTAAATTCCCAATCGAGGCAAGCGTCTCACAAAGCAGTGTCATCGGGCCGTTGCTGTGGAATGTCTACTTCAATGATATTCTGCAGCTCATACCATACGCTCATGCCTTTGCAGATGACTGTACTCTGGCATTCACCCTGTAACCACTTAAGTCGAAAGGACTCTGTGCACCACATCAGCATCATCATGGCATTCAGCACTTTCGCCCCTGAAAAGACCCAGATCATGCTGATGACGCGACGGCAGGATCCCCTCGCACACAGTCCGGCCCTGATGATGGACGGCAAGACCCTCGCCAACGATAGCGACATCAGTATCCTAGGAGTGCAGATCGACAGCCGCTTCACCTCCACAGACTACGTCAGGAGAATGGCGAAGAGCGCGGCGAGGAAACTGGTATGCACCCGTCGCATCGCGCCCCTCCTTGACGCCAAAGGCTGCTGCACGCTCTACCACTCCCAGGTTCGCTCCGTCATGGAGTACTACCAATTCCCCGTCGCGGCAGTCGTTAAAATGCCTACACTCCGACTAAAAAAAGAATATATGAAGAAGACCCCCTGTTTATAACCTGTATTTATTTTCAAAGTATAAAAGAAAGAAAGAAAGAAAGGGAAAGTGAGAAAGAGAAAGAGAGTGAGAGAGAGAGAGTGAAAGTGAGAGAGAAAGAGAGAGTGAAAGTGAGAGAGAAAGAGAGAGTGAAAGTGAGAGAGAAAGAGAGAGTGAAAGTGAGAGAGAAAGAGAGAGTGAAAGTGAGAGAGAAAGAGAGAGTGAAAGTGAAAGAGAGAGAGAAAGTGAGAGAGAGAGAGAAAGTGAGAGAGAGAGAGAAAGTGAGAGAGAAAGTGAGAGAGAGAGAGAGGGGGGGCAATCCGGCTCCTATGCCCTTCCCATTGCCACAACGGAGGTCTAATGGCATACACAATCGTAGACTATAAGGCACCATGGCACCAAACTCCGTATCTATCACTTGCCCCCGCCCCTGACATCGTGGGTAAAATACAACTCAGTTCGTATACTACAAACCTGTCCAAAAGGGAGGCCTTGATCGGAGGGTATGTGCAGAGATAACGTCATGAACAGCAAACTACTCGGCTTGTTTTCGCGTCCGTAACCTTTACGTGTACCTATCGGTGTGCCCGGGGTTCATACCTGCTCCTGAGGACAGGCCTCGATCGAACAGGGCCCGGCAGGTTTTGTACTCTTGCTGGGCAAAGCATGTGTTCTCCTACACACAAGGGTGCATCTATCTAGCATGGGCGTAAGTCCAATCCTGGCAGCAAACGATGGAAGTACCAGGCAGTCTAATCTAGGTATTTCCCTGGCCTGCTCGTCCGAATAACGGGAGTGCCCGTTGTGCAGTGGACGGGGGTTTTAACAGTTATGCCCGCGGAGATGTTTAATTTTCTCCTTTACATTTGAAGACACCGTCCAATCGCGTGGGAGGGCCCTTTACGAGATAAGTCTCATAATACATGGGTACCTGACCACCACTGATATTATAATGTCAAACCAACCTAAAATCCTAATATCATTCATCTACACAACTACAATATTTTACGCGGGTGAATACTTCATACTCAGGGTGACGCGAACCGATGGCATGGTAGCCGAGGTAGTGTCAAGTGCTTGCATACCTTCTCGTTTACAGAGAGCTGGCTTTCCTAGTGGGAAAAAGGTGAGCTATGCATAAGCCTCCCCTGCCGATTTGTAACCTCTCCATCATCGAGACCTGGCTAAACTCTGGGGGTCTTGAAGCAGGAGACCCTAGAAGTACAGAGTCATGGCTTTGTGTCAACTGCCCCTAAGCCCCCTGGGGTTAATAGGCGGCTCGGGGGAGGTGGACCTTGCTAGTCCTTCTAATACTCCTAGATATAAACTCATTGGTAGCAAAATATATACGCGGAAATGCTGGGGAGAGGGGTACTGCCTCTCTCGCCCAGTAAGGCGGGCTAATGGAGGGCGACTGCTGGGGCGCAGAATGGGAACTAGAGTTCCTTGTCCCGCTTGTGGCCTGAGTCACCAACCCTACAGGCTAACGTTGGGACCCACAGCCTGCCACCCTCCTTTATATGGGGGTTACCCAGGCTATCCAGGTAGGAACTTGGAATATCCTGTCTTTGTGGCTATCGAGGGAATTGAAACGGTTGGGACTTCAATATTCGGTACTAGACGGTACACCGGTTGACAAGCGTATCATGGCATGCTTTTGGATACCTGTCTTTTATTGCTGTGTACGCTCCTACGGATGTTAGCAAACTTGATGAGAAAAGGCTATTTTACGCCAAACGCACATCTGTGACAGACAAATGTCTCTGGCGAGATATTTGCATTGTACCGTGCAACTTCAGCGCAGAATCCGATAATGATCATGATCGAGCTGGTTACGAGACGTTTGTCGGTCCCCATGGCTCGGGAGCTAATCTCAGTAGCAAGAACAGCCTCCTCCTCTCCCGTGACTTTGCTGGCTCCTAGTATCAGTGCTCCAACTCTTGGTAAGTCATTATGGAACGCTGTTGTGAGTTTGGTAATGGGTTGCTTGCAGCCTACATCAACCTCGAGAAGGCACTTGACTCAATGCATCACGAATTGCTATGGGAGATCCCAAGCCTTAGGGGAATTCCGACACAAATTACTGGTTTAATAGCAAGCCTGTATACTAGTTCTGAAAGTGTTGTAAAGTGTGGTGGGGCCTATCGAGCTTCTCCTCTATTAACTGAGGAGGGAGGCAACGCTCTCCTTGCTCCGACACGTTTCAACACTTATATGGACTGGATAATGGACAGAGATACCATCCTATCATTATGGAACAACACTGGGCAATATCAAGGTCATGAACCTCGGCTTTGCTGGCGGTGTTGCTATCCTATCCGAGTCAGTGGAATCTCTGTGGCGGCTCTTGATTATTTAGCAATGATGCCTACAGGTCTCCTGGACCAAGAGCAAGATCCAGGATTTGGGGGCCTGTTAGGGGAACCTAACATGCTTGCAGATAGGACGCAGAAGTCACAGAGAACTTTACATACCTTGGTAGGGCAGCCCACGTCTCCGGGCTGTCAGACCAAGAAGTCAGTTGACTGATTTGTCTAGAAGCAGGAGCCACGAACTCGGTCAACAAGACCATTTGGAGATGGCGATACCCATGCAGGACCAAACTGCATGTTCTCAAGGCATTGATGCTTCCAGTTTTGCTCGATGTAAGCGAAACTTGGACATTACCTCTGATGCCTCTGATTGTTGGCACAATCGTGTGACGAACTGACTTGTTACTTGCATAATCCAGAACCGCCAACTCAGGCTATACGGGCACCTAGCTCGGATAGAATGGTAGTAAAAAGGGTAAAGAGGGGGAGCAAACAGAGTGCAGTGGGGATTTGTAAAAGGGGTTAAAGGTATAGGGCTATCCAATCAAATGGAGAGTATGTGTCTGAGGAAGGGGGAGTTACACTTTATGAGGGAAAACTGCAAAAGAGCCATTATGAAACAATTAGAGGGTAATACGGTTAGAAATGGAAGTTGTAGAAGAATACATAGACTGAGATAAGGGAACAGGGGAAGTGATGAAGTATCGGAGAGAATGTCAGGAGGGGAGAGATCCGGAGGACATTGTTAACATGAGTCAACATGACCATCCAGCAGGGAGTGGCAAGGATAATGGGGTAGAAAGAGGGAATGGTGATGTATATGAAAGAGGAGAGGATGGTGTGTTTTTAGGAGATTGGAAGGAAGAGGGGTAGGGTGAACTTGAGGATGATGATTATCAGCAAATACTTTGAATGTAGAGCGAATATGAACAGAGGGATTAAGAGGCTGGATGAGGGAGTGGAGCATTCTTTTGGGTCATGTTTAGTTTTGGAGGTTTCTGGAGCAGAGCTGGGTCTCAAACTAAAATTTATTATGCAGGAAAGAGGAAACAGATGTCCAATGAGCAGAGGGAGAGATGGATGTATGAGAGGATGTGGTAGAAGATGGGGTGGATTGTTTAGATGGTCTTATTCCACAGGTAGAGTGAGGAGGAAGAGGGGGTAGGCACCAGGGAAGTGGTAGAGATTGGAGTATCTGGATTTAGACTGGAAAAAGGTCAATCAGTCAGGGAGACGGAAACTTTTGGTAAAAGTATTAAGGGAGGAGTGAGGTTGGGCGGGAATATGTTTGCCAGTGTTTTCAGCCAGGGTAGCCTGTGGGACGATCTAGTAAATCATGGCTTGGGCAGATTAACCAAAACTGTCACAAGGAGGTAGAGATAGGTATTCCTGTGGCTGGAAGCAAAGGGTAGCTGCAGCTATGGGCTCCCGTTAACTGATTTACAATTTGTATAAAAATGACAAGAAATTTACAGGGTGCACAATCTTTTGAATATGCAGTTGATTGCTTCAGATTTGCTAATAAGAAGTCCATGTGAACCACACATACCCTTATCATGTGTTGCTATGAATAAAAACTGGAGCCTTCCAGCACTCTCAAAGCCTTATTTGGAACCACTAAAAACTCAATACTACTTTAATTTTGTAAATAAATACAGTCTTTAACTGTTGAAAGTTGTCTCCAAAATTGAGTTACGTTCCTTTTTTTCTTTTAAGGTTTAGAATAACTGTAATACATACAAACAACCTACAAGAAGTATTCTTTATTTACAATAAAATATTCTATTTTCCTATAAATTAAAAAGAGA